GTCTATGCATTGTTCGAGTGTTGTTCAAAAAGAGGTAGTCTGCAATAAAATATTACCCCCCACATGTTATCTTATTAGAGATGACTTTTTGTTCTGCAAATTCTCTTTTAAGTTCTTTGATTAAAGCTTTGCCTCATTCATTAATCTTAGGATCAAGCACTATAACCAGGTCAATTCCTTACTGATCTGCAGGATTGAGGTGGGGGTGAAGCTGGGGCATGTGGGGGTGAGGTGATTTGTATTTGGAAGGAGAGGTCGAGGCTCTGGAAGGCAGGCTCTGGTCTAGCAGACAGCACGACAAAGTGGCAAAGCTCTAGCAGGGAGTGTAGGCAGGGACACAGGGTGAGTGGAGGGCAGAAAGCTTGGGAATAAAGGTGGGAAGGTGACAAAAAGGAAAATTGCTTCACAATTGTTGGCCTTGCAATTTTGCCTAGTGAACTCATATAATACTATGTCCAGGTAAGTATGAAAATGGCAAACTCCCTATCAATTGATCCTTTCCCAGTCAAGCCCGGTCCCCAATTTGAAAAAGAGAGAAAGAGAAAAAAAGTAACGTTAAAAAGCTGTATATTACTACCATTACCACCACTACTACTACTATACATACACACATACACACATGAGTATTTGGGTGCATTTCCCCCTTCCCCTCATTGTTAATTACCAATACATTAAAAACATTAGGGTTTATATCCAAAAATATTTACCTTTTATAATTATTATGCAAAATGTCAAGAATGCACAGAAGAAACTGATGGTTCAGAACAAGAGAAATAAGACAGCTAGTAGAGGGTTATCTGTAGGGCAGAATTAATTATGAGGGTGCTTTTGAAATATAGATAGAAGGCAGTATAAAATATGCCCTAAATTGATAAGTACCTACATTTCAAATAAAAATGGCAGTTTTATCACCAGTTATTACCAATTTTACTCCACAATATCGTTTGAGCTCAAGCCAACCACTCCAGTTCCTTTGTCTCTATCCGTGCACCTGTCACCTGGAATATTAGTACACGCCAACTTAAAAGTCATCCTCAACTCTCTTTTCTCACACACTCCATGTCCAACACAACAGGAAATCTTGTTGGCTCTACTCCCAAATTTTAACCACTTGCACGAGTACCCCCCTGGTCTGACTGACCCTCTGGTCTGGGCTGCCATCTTGAGCCACTGGAATGGCTGCAATTGCTTTCTAATTGGTAACTTAACACATATGTTCACCTACGTCTATTCTTCACAACACTTTCCTATGGGGTCTTTTCAAAATATAAGCCAGACCAGGACTCTATTGGAAATGCACTGTTTGCTTGCCTCTCACTCAGAGCTAATGCCCAAGTCCTTAGAAATTAGTCACAAGGCTTTCCATGCTGTGGCAGTTTTGACTACTCCCCCCTCACTCACTCCAGCCCCACTGGTTCCTCCCTCTTCCTTAAACATACAGCAACTATGCCTCCATTTCAGGAATGTTTATTCTGCCTGGGATTCTCTTCCACCAGCTTTCTCTTTGGCTAAATCCTTCACTTCCTTGAGACCTTTGCTCACATCTCCCCTTCTCCATGAGGACTACACCTCAAGCTGGCTCCTATGTCCTTTTGACAGATCCTTCTGTTTTTAGAGCTTTCATGCTTTCTGGCATAAGCTACACCAGGCTAACCTCATACTTCTCCTTTAGTTGCTCCCAAACCTTCATTAAAATGCAGGGCTCCTGTATTATTCAGTGTGTGAATTTTGTTGGCCACAAGGGATGACACAGGAGAGATGAGGTGCCCCACGTGCAACCCTCCACTGACACCTGTTCAAGGCAACAGCTGCCTGTCACAAAGGGTAATAATCCAGAGCTCCAGACAACCCCAGTGCCTATGCACACTCCTTGAGGGCTCTTTTGCAACCGGATTTTATTTGTTTTTGTACACATTTCCTTAAATGAATTGAAAACAAATATGCTGCTGATATTATCTTACTATTGTATGTTCTTCTAACACATGTCTTCTAAGTCTCTCATATTTGAAGCCCCAGATTTGAGTATAGTTCCCAGCACTTAGTAGGTGCTTAACAAATATTTGATTAGGAGAAGGAAGGGTCATCTAATCAATTCTATCAACAATTCAGATAGAAATTATTGAATGATATAGACATAAAGCCTATAGCCAGTGCCTAGGAAATAGCAGGTATATTGCAAGAATAACCAAAGTAAAAGCTGAAGAGATTTCTGCAGTCTGCTGGTTCTAAGATATAATAAACAGCAGAAACCAGTTTTTGGTTTCTTACATTTTGCACATTCTCATTGGCACCATAAAAAACTGGTAAAAAATGATGAGATGGTACATTTTATTTTATTGTTTAATCTCAAATGTTGGAAAGTTTTCAGAAAACTATTTTGAGCTGTAATGCTAAATTCAGTTTTCCTGATTGAGTCAGGGCAAAGTAAGTGACTGTCCAGAAATCACATGTAAATATTGAATTAAAACCACAAAACAAACTGATGACTTCTGAGCAGAAACTATAAAATCCTAGAATTGTGCTTCCAGTGTTTAGATTAAAACTATGACTGCCAAACCACTGATGCAGTTTTATACAAAAAATGCTACCAATAAATTAATGTCTATGCTAATTTTGAAAAACAGCTACATGCCTAACTGTAAGATTGAATCAAAGTTTTGGGTTGTAATTAACCCTGGACTCAGAGGGAGAGAAGATTGGTAGAGCCCACAGATTTGATCATAGGGATAAAGTTCTAGTTTTGATGTTTACAGTATGCATTCATGCACATTCATCTTTATTATAACTTTTCATTATGCTTGACACTTTACATTTTTTGGTAAATGTTTCTTTGATGTGTGTTAATTAGTACATCATAAAATAATACATAGCCAACATTTTAGAAATCACTAATCTAATGAATCAAGCTCTTAGTTTCCCAATGTGTTAAATGGACATAATGATACTTATTGCTTTTAAAATTAAATTGAGTAATATATAAAAATATGCAACAGAGTGCCTGGTGTGTGTGTGTGTACACATGTCATTAACTATGTATGTAGGTAGATAGTATGTATGCGTATAAATAAACATGCTAATCTTTGTCCCAGTTTTTAGTCAGTAACAGTGTAATTTAGTTTTTGATATGTTTCAAAAGATCATGTGTAGATATTTCATTTGGATCCATCTTGAAATGTATTAGGCATACGACTATATTCTTGATGAAATCAGCTGTGTCTTAATAACAGATTCATTTTGGAAAATGAGCACTGAACCCTCTCTCTGACACGCTAGGAGAACACCAAACAGATGCCTGACAACCAGTGTTACAAATCCTGTCCACAGTTCTGGGCCTGGCAGCTAACAACAAAAGCCCTCGCCATAGATCATCTGCCACGGAATTTTCACAATTCAAATGAAATATTAAGTGGGAAATATTGAGGACAAGGAGAGTCACTTTTGATTATGAACTGTGATTTATCTGCACTACAATTGGACTGTCTAATTTTATGTTTTTACTTTCAGGAAAGGTATAGGAAAGACTTCTGTTGATCACTCAATTTAACAATTCCTACTTATTTCTGCTTCTTTTCCTGAGGTAAAAATCAAATATGTGATAAACTGTACACAATCAAATCAGGTCTCTCTCATTTACTTCCAAAAGTCTATAAGCTCACTCAAAAATGTAATTTTCTATGTTTTTTGGCTAAAGTTCATACTCAGATCACCCTGTTCAATTCCAGGTTGCACTCTTGCAGGCGAGATTTGTTTGTCTATCTCCACTGCTGACCACCTGTCTGTCTACAAAACAAACAAACGCAGAAGGTATCGCATCATTTAGAGGTGGGTTTGGGGGCTCAGTTCAGGATCAATTGAGAAATACCATCAAGGACATGTTTGGGTCTTTCCACTGGAAATTAATTCTTTTCATTATCTCACTGTAGCGTGAGTGAGAACAGTGATGGTAATAAAATGTACTATTATGTCCTCACCACATTCCAAGCAAAATGCTTACCATTTTACATGCTGTCTCATGTAATTCTCATAAGACCTCTATGAACTAGGTAGGATTTTCTTGAAGAGACTTATCCAACCTACACTCCTATTAAGTTAAACTAGGATACCAAATTTCCGACTCTAGTGCCAAGACCCTTAACTACATGCAGTTGTTCTTATATGCTCAGTTGCCCTGTATTAATAATTCTTTAAGATTTATCCAAACATTATCTATTAGTTGCAATTAGTTGCTAAGCATTGCCTCTGGTATTATACTACCTAGCCTGGAAAGAATTTTTTACTGTCATAAAAAAAGTTTTTGAGGCTCCATCTTAAGACTTCAAGGATTTTGAGATAAGAGGAAGAGGTAATAAATTAGTCATGATCTTATAAAACCTTTAATCTGAGGCTTTCCTGCCAGGGTCTTACATCATTTATAATCCATTGTTTTTCTCTGTGTTACAAGTAGGAGAGGTTAAAGAGAAAAGAAGTACTCAGGTAAAGCCAAAAGGTAAATAATTGCTAAATAACCAATTTATAAAGTAGGGGAAAGGTGAAAGATTGGAGGTTTTTCTCAGATATGCTAGGCCATGAACTTGAAGTGTTCAGCACCAATAGAATGATGGTTCATTTACCACTTCTACTGAAACTAGCCTTGAAGAAAAATGTCTAGACCCATTCGACTGCCTTCTTGCCCATTTCAAATACATGGGGCTTGCTTCTCTCTCTTCTTCTGGCCAAATGGAGTTGATTATTAAGTGGACCACCTATACTTTGGGTTATTATTACCATGGATTTTTTCCTTCAATATCTTCTTTTTGCTTGATTAATTTTCCATGAGTGCAGAGTCGGGAAGGATATGTATTTGGGGCCACCTTGTGACAGATTTGGAAAATTCTTGGAGACAGAACCCTGGGGTTAGAGCTTTGGATTTCCATTACTGAAGCATCGCTTTTCAACAACTATCTTTTGCAACACCATAGCATATGGTAATGGCTGATTCTTGCTAACGAAAGAATAGTTACCAGTATCACAGAACAGTTACACATAAGGACTCATTTCTTTGTGCCAGCCACTGTCGCAAGCCGTCTACAGCAGGGTACTGTTTAATGTTCACAGCGATCCTGTGGAGGGCATGACATCGTATCTCCATTTTGTAGATGAGCAACTGAGCCTTAGAGAGAATAAGAATTTGTTTAAGTACATGCTGAGAGCAAGTGAGATCTTTGAAACCTCAAAATATTCTGGTTAAAAATGTGAAAATGTTGTTCTATCTGAAAGTGCAACATTACATGAAAATATTAAAAGTGGAATCAACATAATTTCTCTTTAGTAACATTTTTAAGTTTCAAATTTCATCTTATTATCACATGTTGGATTAGAGGCTCTGTTTTTACAGAAGCACACACACATACACAAAAGAATATAAATGTAAACAACACAGAAGAAATCTGTAAGAATTGATATTATGAATAAATTTAATAGTGTGGAAATTTAAAAAGCTTAAATATATTACATTCTTCATACTCATACCCCTGTGACTTATTCTATTTATGTTAAACTCTGTCATGTCAAATGAGGATTTGTGTGTGTGTGTGTAAGAACAGAGGAGCAGATATTTTTTAGCTATAATCAATACTAAATATTCTTCAGTTCCATTTTCAGGGTGCTAAAATTATCATTAAATTATGTGACTCATTCCTTCAGGGATCTCTGATGATGTCCGCAAAAGTACAGTCATTTTTTTTGTTACTGTATTTTCTGTCTCAAGCAATGGCAGTAGAATGGCATTCCACTGCCCAGACCCCTCCTCAACTAAGCATTGTTGGAGCTGCCTGGACCAAGGTCACACCCCTCCTGAGGCGGCCTGCATCCTGCGGCTTAGTGAGAGTATGAAGGTGGACGCTGGGCCGGACAACAATATTTGCTCTGGGGCTTGTCCTGCTGGGTTTCCTACATCTCTGGTGGGGCCTTCATAAGCAATTCCACTGTTCACCTCTACCCAATCCTGCTTTCTCTGCCTTCTTTTCATAGGTTTGGATCCTTAATAAATGTCTTGAACTCTGAGACATTTATTGAAATATCCCAAAATCTACTTTCTGTTTTTTTTGAATTGTGGCAAAAGGCACATGATGTAAAATTTACCATCTCAACCACATTGAAGAATATAGTACAGCATATTAACTATGTGCATGTTGTCGTACAACTTCTCTAGAATCGTTTTCATCAGATTCTGCTTCTGGAGAAGCCAATCTGTGACAACACCCTCTTCGGTGATCTAAATCTCTTTCAGATGTCTTCAAGTGCCGCTTTCCTTTCTCAGTAATGCCCTAACCGGGCTTGCAGCATGCAGCTGTGATGGTGACAGAAGACGGAAAACACAGAAAGCAGAGTATTCACAATGATCCTTCCCTGTTGCACGGGATCTGTTAATATTTACCACTCAACTTGAAAATTTGGGTTTTTTTCTAGCCCATATGAAAAGTAAATTGGAATTAAAAGGCTTTCTCTGGAGAAGTTATAAGCAGACAACTAAAGGTATTCTTTATTAGAGAGAGGCCAAAAGCAATGTGGCAAGTCTCTAAGAAACTTTTTTGTTTTAAGTTTTCCCCAAGTCCTAAGCATGATGTACTGAGTTTCAGAGTTAATCGCACTTACTCAAAATTGATGTCCTATCACAGCACCTTCATCCACAATGTGGGGAGTTTAGGCTATTACACGGGTTTTCAATTCTTTGGTGGCAACTTGAAGATGGCTGAAAATTCTTTGCTACTCCATCCATTGAAAGGTGGAATCTAACTCCCCTCCTTTTAAGTCTGAGCTGATACTGCTCAGGATTTGCTTAACAAATTGAATGTGGAACCAGTGATGCAGCATGACTTTCAAGATAAATCAGACAGACTTGCAGCTTCACCTTGATCTCCAGAATCACTCTCGCTGGGAGCCTCTGAGCAGACCAGTGTCTTCCTGGGCACCACAATCCCCAGAGGCTTTAAAATCCCTAAAAGCAATTACTAAGAAGCAATAAATGAAGAAAGAATAAAGGAAATTTTGTTGTGCTTTTTTGGAGAAACTAATACTCTTTTTTGTTTAGCTTTGCTCCACATTTTCAGTTATTGAAAAAGCAAAATTGCTATTGCTGTTCTTTTTCCTACCATTGAAGAGGCAAATGCATGAAAGAAAGCTTTTAAATTGCTGCGAAAAAAGGTTAGTGCCATTTCATCAGATAAGCTGATTTTTCTGAGTCTTCCTGATCAGTTGGATGATAAATGAAGAATTTTAATTGAGAAAAATCAACTCACCTCCTCCAAACTACATGTACAGCCTTCTGCACCCATTCTTGCTGCAGGTCCAAGCAGTGGTCTCTTCATGAATGTGCTTCACACTAAAAAAAGAAAGAGATGAATTATTTGTCTGGTTTACATAGTCCTTTGTCATTGAAATCATTGTCTTTTGGATTCAGTGGAGAACTGAAATGATCCCCACAGGTTTTTTTCACAATTTCCTGGAAGCTATGGGCACCTCATTCACACTGCCAAAGGTCATTGAACCCAGTTGTCACACAAAAAAGGAATCCCTAGGGTCAGACTGCCAGGGTTAGCCAGCGTGCCCCTGGAATTGTTTCAACTACACTAATACTCCATTCAAATTTAGTTCTTATTTCCGAAGCTTTCTCTTGCTTCTCTGACTCTCTCTGCAGAATGGAGGTTAGTCAGCCCCCCAGATTGTTTTGGAATTTACTTTATCAAATAAATGAAACCATTGCTATGGAATTCAGAAGTTAGGGGACAGAGCAGGTAAAGCTAAACAGACATCTGTACCATGTTAAGTGTCGTAAAGACAGGGATTTGTTTCTTGCCATTTTGTTCACCAGCGAATATCCAGCACCTAGACATTCTATTTTTGCATGGACCAAATCAGTAATCACTTTAGAAAGCACTTACATGATTTCTCAGTATTTACAGCGTGGTCTCTCTGGATCACTTTTCATTCTTTAGTAAGTTTGCAATGGAAGGGAGTAGACTGTGTCTTCCTGCTCTGGCATTAAAGCACCGCACTAACACTTGGCACAATGGAAACAGCGGTACAGGAAGGAAAAAAGACTAATTTCGTCAAAAGGTACAACTCCACTACATCCCCTTTCAACTCTAACTTGATGATTGTGAGGACCACGGACAATGTCTTCATGTTAAAAAATAGGTTGTTGCAAATAAAAGATCATGTGTGGCCTCCTCTGGACATCGATGTTTTTTCAAATGATTCTCACTGATTGTTTGCATAATATTTGGAAGACTAACATTTGTAGTTTTTAAAATTAATATTGTGCCCCCATATGGCACTTTTCTTCCATTTCATTGTTCAGAAACCTCTGCAACACCACAATGCCCTTTATGGGAGGTAAGCTATGATCTCATCAACAAAATTACACTCAGAAAGAATTAATAGACACATACAACTATTTCACAGAGATGTCTTATTTTAAAAATAAACCCATTAATGCTAATAAAAGGAAAGAAAACAAGCACAGGAATCAGATGTTAGAAGTACAATTGGTCAAAGAGCAGAACATCCAGAGGGTCCAGGATCCACCCAGGGACCCTCAGCACAGAGAGGAAATGGCAGTTGTCCGGGACCTCATCACAAGAATGCTGAGTGAAAATACATGGGTTACATAGTTAAATGTAAACACCCAAAAACTCTCAACTGTGGCTTCCAATGTAATATCACATAAATGGATGTAAGTATAGTCACACATAGATTTATGAAATTCAGCTAATATTCAGACATGTAAATGTACATGTGATGGAACAAGATAAGATTTTTAGCAACCAAGTGCCTACAACAATTCAAATACTACACTTTCCTTAGAGGTAGAGAAATAGAGTTCAAATAATTAAGACTCTGATTCTGATCAGGGTTGACATGCTTTAGGCATAGTGGGCACAGTGCTTTTAGAATGAATTATTTTAGAAGCCCATGAAAATATTTTAATTTTTTTAAATAATAAAAATATAAAGCTTTAGAGTGAAGGAAAGTATTGTATGTGTGTGTGTACAGAAAAAGATAAAATTTGGCCCATGAAAATCACCTAATTTTTGCCTCAAACAGAAAACAATATCATTACGATGGAGAGCCTCACAAAAGTAAAAGGACCCAGGCAGGGCCCATGGAAGTCAGTGTGTAGCACTGTCAATGTTAAATGAATTCAGAGATATTTTTGTTCAAATACAAAGCATTTTGACTAGGCTTGCTTTCCGAGGGTCACAGTTAGACAAAAGAAAAAACTATGAATTGGAAGGGGCCCCCCTTCCTGGGTGCTACAGAAAACAGAAAACTGCCAAGAGCGCAACTGGTCAATGTTCAGTCTGAGACTCCTGTTTACTTTACATCCTTTTCAGCTTCGTACGGCCTGTTGGCTCTGGTACGCTTAGCCGTCTCCGAGGACTTGTTTTGGTTGGAGTGCTCCTGAGGCTTTTATATTATTGCAACACTAGATATTTGTGGGTCCTCATTCTTACACTGTGTTACTGGCAATTACACATGATCCAGTATGCCGCACTGCACTTTGAAACTGACCCTGAGAGAAACAAATACCCCTAGGTCGCTTAACAAATGTTTAGCATGGTTACAATTTAACCTGATTCAGTACAATTACTGTTTTTGTTCAACGTACATGTCTCATTCTGTTCAGGTTGCTATAATAAAAATACCGTAGACTGGGTGGCTTAAACACCAATATCTATTTGTCACAGTCCTGGTGGCTGGAAGTCTAAGTCCAAGGTGCCAGCAGATTCATTGTCTGGTGAGGACCTGCTTCCTGGCTAGAGTTGACCTTCTTCTCAGTCTGTTCTCGGGTGGCAGAGAGGGACTGAGAGAGCTCTCTGGGGTCTCTTTTATAAGAGAACCAATTCCACTCACGAGAGCTCTACCCTTATGACTTAATCACTCCCCAAACAGCCCCCCTTCACAATGCCATCACATTGGGGATCAGATTTTAACACGCATTTTGGAAGGACACAACCATACAGTCCACAATAGCACATGTCTCTCAATTTGATGAGATAAGTTTGCATCCCTAATTTTTAATAGTATTTTATTTTGAAATAACTTTAAACTTGTTTTTTTAAATCATAAAAAGAGTTAAAAAATTGACCCTCCAGTTCCATTTCCCATCGGATCTGAGCACCAGTCTTGGTGGTTGTAAAAGGAGGGAAAGTAACACTGAAGCTGGCCTCACAGCTCTGCAGCATGTGGGCTAGTTTCAAAAGAGGTAAAAAAAAAGAGTTAAAAAATTGTGGAATACTCTTCATCCAGATTTTTAGTATTTTGGAAGAATAAGGGAATTCTATTATATAACCAGATTTATAATAATCAAAACTAGGAAACTAATGATGATATACTGCTGTTATGCAATCTATAGACTTCATTCAATTTATGACAATTGTCCCAATCATAATTTTTACATACATGGATACTTAGATAGATAGGTAGGAGATAGCTGGAAAGATAGGGGGGAGAGAGAGAGAGGGAGAGAGAGAGAACCATTCCAGGACCCAAATCTAGGGTCATGTATTCTACTTAGTTGTCATATCTCTTTTGTGTCCTTTATTCTGGAACAGAATTTCTCCAGTTTGGATTTGGTTGACGTTTCTTCATGATTAGATTCATTTGGGGAAGCAATATCTTGGGGTGGTGTTGGGTCCTTCTCATTGAATCATAGAAGTATATGCCTCTAGTTCCATATGTATGAATAATAGTTCAAAGGAATTTGCACTTCAGCAAATCTGTCCCAGACCCTTTGAGGTAGTCACAATCAATAAACACTTTATTTTCATCTATCACCTTTCTTCTTTTCCAGAGCTCAATGCAGCAGTTGGCAGCTGCTGGTGGAAGGGGTGTGTGTGTGTGTGTGTGTGTGTGTGTGTGTGTGTGTTTGGGGGGAGGGTAGGTGAATGCTATATCAGAAGCAAGGCAAATTGTAGCATTTGGTCCTTCATGTTTTTAACTTTTGTTTTTTTTCTTAAGCATTTGTTCATTAATTTAATAATGTCATTTAATGAAATCCATGTCGTTAATTATTTAGTAAATACTTTTCAGCATGTTACCTGCCAGGCATTGTGGTAGGTGCTGTGAATAAGATACAATTTCTTCCTTATAGATCCTGAAATCTAGAGTAGAGAAAGGCAAGTAAAATGAAGTGGGTAGAGTGTTGTAAGTTAAGTGCAGAGGCCATGGGAGCATAGGGACAATTTCGTTCAACCATCCGGGGGAAGTTGATTTATGAACTGAGCTCCAGGTTTGGGCACAGAATCCTAAGGCAGAGGTGACGTGAAAAGAAGCAGCACCTCTGGGGAGAGCACGTGCACCCACCTGCTCCTGCTCCACACGCACTGGGCCAGCTCGGAGAGACAGCTCTAATCAAGAAGCTATTGCATGGAATTTCAGGCTACTTTCTGACTCTTCTTGGAAAAACATGATCCCAAAATTTGACAGTGAAGCTGTTGATATTACTCCTAGGTCCATTGGTGAATATATTGTATTGCCCATTTTTTATCATCATCACTACTGTTAACATCATTACTACTACTACTACTACTACTACTACTATTACTACTACTATTTATTTATTTATTTATTTTCTAAGGACTCAGAAAAAATAGGCAGTTGCCAAGGTAGTTAATGGCTGGATATTCACCACAATGTTCTGTTCAAAACACTCATATTATCAATGTATACCAAAACCAGGACATCAAATGGCCTAAGTTAGGGGAGCAGAGCCTAGGGCTGGACAGGCATTGGGCAGAGCCAGGTGGCCAGCCATGGATCGGACTTCAGTAGGGCAGCCTCTATCCCAGAAGTCAGACTCCAAGGCTGCTGCTTTCCTACAGCACACATTCTCCCTCTAGTCACCCCAGCAGCGATAGCTGAACCAACAGACAGTCATGGGAACACAGTTTCACTACACTCCTGCCTCAGCTTCCATCTCATGGCTACCTCCCCTTCCTATGGTCCATCTGATCTGGGGGCCATAGCCCATGATGCTTGCTTTGTAGAAACTTCTACAACAGGTTACGTTAAAGAGGTTTCTGTAGGAACCATAACTCCCTCTTTTTTTACAGAACCATTCTTACTTCCCTTACACCACTGAGTATCTCTTTTCAACAGCTTTGAAATCTCTTTATATTCTTTCTTCCACCCTCCTTTCCTTTCCTCTGTTTCCTTCCTCCATCCTTTTTGTCTTAAGACTTCTCATAGCTCTGCATTACAAGAAGGATTCTTAAAAGTATAGAAAAGTATGAAAAAGAAAATAAAAATGACCTGTCTTTTTACTCTCTAGAGGTTATGGCTGCCAAGATTTTGATACATTTCATTTCGATTTTATGTGTTGTGTGTGTGCTCTAATTTTATGCCCTCGCTATTTCACTTTCTATTGTGTTAGAATTTCTTAACATCAGTC